CAAATTTTGTTTTAGAAAGACAAAAATAAAAAACACCTTTTATAAATAATATATTTAGAATTAAAAAAATACCATAGTATAAATAATTTAAAATTTTAAACGTTTCAATATTAAAAATTTAAAAAATTTACCGTAATGCCAAAAAATATTTAAATTATGGAGATACTTGATACAGAATATATAAAATTTATTATAAGAATATATTACTTTTAATTTAAAAAATTCTAATTAGCTAAAATGATTATTATATAAATCAATGTGATATATTAGCATGAATAATTAAATATTTAATAGTACTTTTATTTTATTTACATATAATTTAAATGCAATACCGATCATTTAACACTTCCACAGAAATGATGCATAATATAAATAAATTTTTAATACACTAACTAATTATATTAATTCATCAAATTAATAACATTAGGAATTTGAATATAAAGATTTATATACAATACTATATTAGATCCGTAAGCGTATTAACTAATTAATGAGTATCATAATCTTGACTATTACACAGTAATGTAAGTTTCATTTAATATTAATTTGACTTTAATTTAACACACGCACACACGCGCGCGCGCGCGCGCACACACACACACACACACACACACAGAGGTATACATATAATTGTTTGATTAATGTATATATTATTGAAATATTTTATACAAATGATACAAAGCATGTATTATAATTAAGTCTATTATATATTTTCATTGTATAATAGGTTTTGTATAAGTGTGATATATTTATCAAATTATTTAAATTTAAATTTTATATTGAAATTTAACTATATTTAAAAAATTATTCACTATCAGGTTGTGCTGATTGTTCATTAATTAATTCCAACTTTTGTATTAGCCATTTTGTACAAAACATATTTCGTTGTATCTTGGACAAGTCTTGTTGAATACTTTTCATTAGTTTACTGACATCATGAATATCCTAAAAAAATTAATTAAATACTATAAATTATTAAGACATATAATATTCAACGACAATAAGTTTATACAAAATCAATATATACAACAACATAAATGAAACTATTATTATTATTATACGTAAATATAACCTCACCGTTACGAATTTCTCTAAATTTATTTTTATGTCGTCCTCTCTATTTGCTGAACTACGAAAGGAACTATCCGTTGAATATTCATCCATATTTATAGAAATATACTAAAAACATGTGAGCAACCAATACCTCGTAATTAATTAATAACAATTGCCATTGAAATATAACTCAATGATAAGAAACAAACTTTTTTTATTTATATATTATTTATAATTTATTTATAAATTAACTCATAATACAGATAAATCGACAAATCCATATTCTACAATAAAGTTCAATTATTCCAACTGCTGTTTATGACGCTTTTGGAATACCAATTTCATCTTGTGTCACATTATTTAAATAGAGATCTTATTAAATTGTAGGGAGCGCTGATGTCGGAACATTCTTCGAGCGGTTAAATTTAAAACTGCGATTTGAACTTTTTACAGGAGCACAATAAACTAAATATCGCTTAACGGTGATTATTCTTTTATTTCAGATTTATTCAACAATTGTCGTGGAAAAGAAGCAATGAACTATTATTAATTTTAGAATATAACGGAGTTCAGAATTGATCGTGGATAATAAAGAAAAGAAAAGTATCCTGCCTTGGTTTCTTTGATAATTATTTCCTGGACTCTTGGCTGTATATTTTCTGGATATTACATTTATTTTTAAGTAAGTTCATTACATGTAAGCATCAAATAATTGTTCTTCTTTAGGAATGGAAGGAAATTAGCTCTTAGAATTCGAGCCAAGTGTAATGATTTTAATGTTAAAATAAACTATAAAGATTGTGGGAGTAAGTTCATAATAAATCCTATTTCTTTCGGATTTTATTTTTATTTTTATACTTAGTAGAATAGATATTTTTCAATAACTGGAATATTCTAAAGTAAGATTATGGTCATTGATTGTTTATTTTAATTAATTTATTGCGATTGTTGAATTTACATTTATCTAGAGTAAAATATTTTTAACTACTGCATATAAGTTCATTTATTTTTTGTTCATTTTTCTCAAAATGGAAATTTGAAGAATTTAAAATGTTGATAAATAAAATAAAAATTTCCTTTATAAGGAACGTAAAAAATTCTTGAATGCTAAATAATGCATTTATAGATTCTTAATTAAGTAATGACAATTTATATATAAAGTTTTCCTTTAGTTTGGTGAGTTTTTTTTTTCTAAACAGTTTATACATACATTAAGAAGATATGGCCTATTGTATAATTAAAATGTTTTGAAGGTTGTAACTAAAGAGTACTTTTATTATCAATATATAGCACCAGCTTTATATTATAATTATGCAAATTTCAATCACTTACATATGTAAGATAATTTAAAAGAATATCGGCGAGCGTCGAAATTAATGTAATAAATATGTAATATTTTGATGTGTTAAATTCATATATTCAGATACAATTAATGCCTCTGACATTCCGTACAATTATTTTTTTATTTCCTAGATTAAACATACGTTAATAATCATGTAGTTGAATAGTAACGTCGTAATATTGATATTATAAATATAAACATTGATTCCTTTATTTTATATAGGTTAAACAAATTCTCATAAAAATTCTTGCTTCAAGCAGTAAAAATTAGCATAAATTATAATAACATTTTTCCAATAAATAATAAACAAGCATTATGTACACAACTTTTAGCTTTTTATTTTCTATTATTTATTGCGTAATACATGCAATTTTCTTAGCTAAGAATATGAAAGGTAATCGGTATATTAATCATATCCTATATGATTTTCTACAGTATCCGATCCATTACTTTTAACAACTATGTTTGACATTTTTTACGGTAGAACAGCTAAACTTTTACCACATAAATAACAAAGGTTTTGGCTTATTATAATTTTATCAATATGCTTTTGCAATAAGAACAAAATAATAACGATATGGTAATTATGTGTGAATTATGTGCGATTAAAATTAATATATGTTCTTGCTTATTAAAATATTTGTAATCATAAACTATAATCTTTTTCTCTCGATATAGGAAAGCACATTGTATTAATTTTTTTTACTATTTGTAATTATCAATAATTGTTTAATCATTTAATTATTATTTAAGTATTATATTCAAAGTACTGGTTTCAATGAAAATACTTTTGAATAGGGTTGCTGGAATCAAATTATATTAAAATAACATTTATCATTAATAATAATTTTTATGTCGGAAAGCCTTATTGTTGATAATCATACATTAGTATTTGCATATTTTGTCACAAATTAAAGGCGACAATGAGAAATTAAGCACTTTCTTAAATTTCAACGTAAAAAATATAATTTTATAATTTTTCCGAATAAACTAGTGATAATTAAGCTTATCTTGCCTTTCACTTTCCATTACATTTCCCCCAATATTCTTAATTTGATTTAAATACCCTTATATATTCATATAAGCATATACATTAACTTGATTACCATTATTAGTTCGTAATGAAAGATATTTTAATAATTGTACTGTATACAGAAATAATTTTTTTTCTTATAAATATCGTCAAAATTGTTAATAACATCGTGGCTATACTTATGCATTTTTATTAAAAATGTCACCAAAATCACCGACGTCTAAACTAAGAAATAAGCCATGGTAAACCAACCTAGGATCAAGCGCATACAAGATAGGGAATAACTTTTTTTTCTTCCTCAGTACCAATATTCTCCGTAAAATTGGTAAAACTAGGTTGAGAACTCAATCGGGTATATTCATTTCCCTTTCACGACGTTATGTGGAAAATTTTTCCTTCCCTTGATCTTCATCAGACTGTTCATGCAAACTCATACACGCACACACATACGCACTCACTCACTCTCTCTCTCTCTCTCTCTCTCTCTCTCTCTCTCTCTCCCCTTCTCTCCCTCTTTCATTCAACCACTTCTCCCACTTTTTGTTTCTTTCTTTCTTTCTATTTCTTTTTTTCTTCTGTTTTTACGTATAAAACTCGTTTGAGAGGAAATCCGCTTTAGTTTTAACTCATAACTGTGTAATAAAACTGATGTAATAATTACAAATGCCGTAATTAAAGTGATTATAATGGCTCGTTTAACTCTGATTAAATCTTAGTAATAATAGGCATTTAGGAGAAAAAAATTGTTAAACAAAAACAACAACAAAAAAAAAAAAACAGAAAAAAAAATTCTACTTTGCTAGTTAGTTTGTGCGTTAATCATAATATTCTTCATTGCCGGTACTCAATTAGCCCCTAAAGCACCAAAGAACATTGTTAGTACTCCTAATAAAATGCCGATAAACAGTCGGGATAATATAGATTACGCAATGTAGGGAATTCGAATTGTCGGATGATATCTGTGTAAATCCAGTGAGCGGATGTGCGTTATCATTAAAAATTGCGTATTGCTAAATTCCCTCGGATCTGTCAAAATTCGATCGTAATTATTCCCTCGTGGACAATCGAAGAATTCATAATGAAGAGGCGTGGGACGTGGCGTTAGAAAGAGTTGGAAAGCCACCCTACGCGCTCGCCTCGACACACGTATCGACCGGACCATCGATCGACGCACGATCTATTCCATCATGCAGAATCCGCTCTTACCGGTGCGGTCGCCCGGGCTATCGATCGGTTGGCGCCGGCGCACCCATCAATCTCCCCACCCCCGCCCCGCGACTCAATGGCACATGACGCGTGCCATTGAAAAAAGCGCGCAGCATGTCAAACGCTCCTCTCCATCCAAGCCATACGCACCTCGCGATTCCACTCCCTTTTCACACGGACTTTTTTACGCTCCTCTCGCGCACGATGAAGTGGGCGTGAGCGCGGGCGTGCGCGCCCGCGCACACAACCCCCCGCGCGCAATCGTCAATGCCCCCACCACGACGTCGAACAAAATGCGCGCGCGTACGCCAGAGGAAGGAAGTGCAAGGGGGCGACGACTGAGTGAGCTTCGTCCAGTCAAGTCTCGTGTTCATTCATTCCTTGGCTCGCGTCTATGCGCTTACTCGCAACCCGAATCCCGGGGCTCTTGAGAGAGGCGACGACGACGACGACTGCTGCCTTAGCGAGTCGGCGAGCGTGGCTTACCTTTTATGGCGATCCAAGAAAGATCTCGCCGTTTGTTTCGCGTGGTGTACGGTACGGTACGCGACGTCGGGCCTGTGATGCTGAGTGAAAATTATTGAAAGGGAGCAAAGGGAAAGGCAGGAAGGTGACGCGGAAACGGAGGGTTGAATATATATTTGATATATATTGGGCGGGTTTGCTAAGCATTGCATTGCGGCGAGAAGCGACCGAGGACGGAGATAGGAAGTAAGCGCCGAGTTTGTTGTGCCCCTTGTGCTGCTTGTGCTTTTTAAACGAGTCGGTCATTCTTCTAGTAATGTGTCCTCTAATACAGCGGCTATTATAATCTCGGGATGAAGTTTGTGGGACAAATTCTTCTGGCCCCTATGCGTGCCCTGCGTGCGTGCGTGCGTGCGTGCGTGCGTGCTTGTGTATGTGCATGTGCTGGATTTAGCGGCGAGGAGAATAATAGTCTGTTGTAGATTATATGGAGCTTCGGTGTTTTTCATGTGCGTTTTTCTATTATGCAAAGGTAGCGAATAATAACGGTGACAGCATCTAGACAGTAAGCTCGGCTAGGAATATCACGTGATGCGATTTTTTCCCAACATTTCCAGAACGTATAGTTGGTTTGAATCTTGTTCCCCCCCCCCCTCACTCCATCCTTCACTCATACTCTAATTCTCTCTCTCTCTCTCTCTCTCTCTCTCCCTCTGCTCTCTCTCCCTCTGCTCTCTGCTCTCTGCTCTCTGCTCTCTGCTCTCTGCTCTCTGCTCTCTGCTCTCTGCTCTCTGCTCTCTGCTCTCTGCTCTCTGCTCTCTGCTCTCTGCTCTCTGCTCTCTGCTCTCTGCTCTCTGCTCTCTGCTCTCTGCTCTCTCTCTCTCTCTCTTCGTCAAAATTACGAAAGAAGCGAGCCGTTTTGTACATTATTGAGCAACTCTGTGCGTGGGTGATCGGGTTTTCCAACAATTTATTCAATCGTGAAGTTGAAATCGACGCTTGGATTAGCTATTTTATCCTATTAAATAGCCGATCATGAGATTTAAGTTAAATTATTAAGACAATCGTTTCTTATATTTTTGCTGTGACATTCATTCGGCTTCGCATAAAGCTTTTATTAATGTGCGATTTGGTAATTTTAAATAAGACAAGATCTTCTGGTTTATATATACTGGAATATATTTATAGCCGACGATATTAACAAGACAATTATTATTCCGCGTTTGCCGTCGCATCATTAAACGATTAAATATTTATCCTAATGGAACCAATAGAGCCAATGTCAATTATATCTTTCTCCATCGAGTTAAAACATTCGTTTCGCTCGAATAAAGTAGAAACGTCGTTTTCATAGATACACATTCGGTTAAAAATAAATGCCGTGACAATTATGGCGTACCTAATAGAGCTTTCATCATAAATTTCAATGTAAATCTTACAAATCGTATTATTATTCATCTTTTAAAATATATTCATTCTCCCATACGTCATATTACCTAATAAGCGATTCGTCTTTTTTTTTTTTCTAGTTAAAAATTAGCAATAGACATTTTGCTATGAAAATTATTAATTGATTATTTAAAAATGAACAAAATTAAAAAAAGTGTTTTTTTTTACTCAAAAATGTTGAATGATATCTTGATAGTAGTAGTTAAATCATTGAATAAAGAAGGCTTGTATAAATACATAAATTATAAACAAAAGTATAAAAATATTTTGAAGGATGATTGCTTACAGAGGCTTTTACATCACAGTTGTTCGTTGTTATAGAATTTGTATAATTCTAGAATTGTTTCAACCTTGCTCATTGAGATTTTTAATGTCATCTATAATTGCATCTGACAAGTTGTATTCCAAGCTATTGGAAATATCTTATTATTTCCTTTATTTTTTTCCTCTCTCTTTTTCCTGTGGATGAATTTTTGATGATCTAACACAAAAGTAACTGGAACTTGCCAAGAAACTCTGAGTCAATGTCTTAATTATAGACCACCTTTTATTTGAATATTCATCCAGATTTATAGAATTCTATAATTAAATTTTTCCTCCTTCCATAAAAACAAAAATTGTTAATTGACATTTTTAACGTTTAAGTAACAATTTCATCTCTTTATATACATAATTTTAAATAAATGAGTAAACATAAATCAATTGTCAATCAAAAGTTTGCGCTTCTTATATTATCATATACATTGACTTTTTATACTTGTGTTAAATCAGTAATGCAATCCGTAAGGTCATCCGTATATAATATACATTAGAAGTGTTTAACATTCACAATTTTAATATAAAATTATTAAATTTCAAATATTTGTTTAGTAATGAGCAGCATGAATATTAACTCAAGCGATAAAAGGTAATATATTTTCTTGATTATCATCGTATAGTATTGTATCGATATCACTAAGTCAGTCTTCTAAATAAGCTCGATAAGTAAGATATATATGTGTCTGTATATGTATTTATATATTTATATAATATGTATATATATATATATATATATATATATATGTATGTATGTATGTATGTATATCATTTTTAGTTTTTATATAGTAGTGTTTAGGCATAAAGCTAATAAAATTTTGTTATATAAAGTAAATTATATTAAAATTTATTATTTGTATTATATATTCAAGAAAATATGTTGTAATTATTACTCACTGCTACAGTATTAGTTTATTAATTTTGTACTAATTAGTATGCATCGCATAGTCTTTAGTTTATTAATTTGTAGTTAGTATCATTAATTTTTCTGTAATTTTTTTCTTTCTTTTTTTTTTCCCTTCTAAATACTATTCATTGGCTTATTAATATTTTGCAAAAGTTATCTTTATTTTTTATTAATCTTTATTTATTTTAATGCCAGTAAATTCTATAAATCCATTACACATTAATGTCTACTTTTTTGTAATTATACTAAACTATTTTAATATTTTTTAACATTATTTTTAAAATATTATAAGTTTTTTTTATTTTAACTAATTCATTCACAATATTCATGAAATTTAATACAATGACAAAGGGACAAAGAAAAAATCAACTTATTCTCAAACGTCACTTGTAGAAAATAGTCTAATGTTTATTTGTGATAGAATGAATATTCATTAATAATCACTATACCTAAGAAAAAATGAAGACTCTTATTTACTTATTTACCAACCATTATAATGTCATAGGAATGACTGGCAACTTCCAGTGGAGTTTAATATTACTATTAATAACATGGTTGGAGAATGGGTCATCGATACAATTATCAAAACCAACCGGTACAAATGCTTGCATCAGCAAACAGAGTTGCCATGACTGTATTCAAACACCAAGCTGCGCTTGGTGTTCCTTACCCGTTAGTTTATTTTCTGTTTTCTATACTTTCTATTATGCTCTACAATAATAAAATATTGAAGTAATTATCTTTTGTAACAGGATTTTGATAATAAACGATGTTTCCTTCCACACATTAACTTAAGAATCTCCGAAGAATGTCCAGACAATTATACATTCAATCCAGACAATGAGTATATCAAAATACATCATAAGGAATTATGGAAAGGAAGTTATACTATCGAAGGTGGCAAGCAAGAAGGTTTCAGTTATGAATCCGGAGAACAACAATCTGTGAAAGGAAGCTATCATTCCGATTCAGTGAGCGGAAGTAAAACGAGCTTTAATGGTAAACAGGAAGCTGTGCAATTATATCCACAAGAGGTTAATTTGAGACTTAGAATAAGTAAATAATTTTTAATGTTTTTGCCAACTTCAATTCGTGTATTGAAACGAAAAAATGTTAATATTTCTTTACCTTTGCAGACGAAGTTCAAAAAATCAAAATTGAATATGCGCAAGCACAGGATTATCCTGTAGATCTGTATTATCTTATGGATTTGAGCAATTCCATGAAAGACGATAAGCAAAAGTTATCGGATTTGGGTCAGCTGCTCGTTGAAAGTATGAGCAATATTACAAGCAATTTCCGTTTAGGATTTGGTAGTTTTGTCGACAAAGTTGTTATGCCTTATGTCAGTATGGTGCCAAAGGCGTAAGTAAAATTATATTTTATATTGGAAAAAGTAAAGAAAAAGAAGTAGAAAAAGAACCGTTGATCCAACGAATAGAAATAATGTAATTTATTGATATTTGATACACAGACTTATTGAACCCTGCGATGGTTGTGCTGCCCCATACGGTTATTTAAATCATATGCCACTGTCACAGAATACGGAACGTTTTGCAGTATGTATTGAAAATTTAAATCATACGTTTATTTTATTGAGCTCTTTCAATTATTCTATTTTCAAGCACAAGTTATAATTGTCATTAATTTATTTGAAAATAATTATTTATATATTATGAAGTTTACAGCAAAATTGAAAAGTAGTAAAAATTTTTATATAAACATCTGTGTAGAAAGAAGTGCGAGATGCTCCAGTTTCGGGAAATTTGGATGCTCCAGAAGGAGGTTTTGATGCTATAATGCAAGCAATCGTATGTAGAGATGAAATTCGGTGGCGAGAGAAAGCTCGAAAACTTTTGCTCTTTTCCACTGATGCCGGTTTCCATTTTGCCGGTGATGGGAAGTTAAGTGGTATTGTTAAACCAAACGACGGTTGTTGCCACTTGGATCAAAATGGATTATATACTCACTCAACTCTTCAAGATTATCCTAGTATTTCACAAATTAATCTTAAAGTTAAGGAAAACTCCATCAATATTATTTGGGCAGTCACGGAAGAACAAATAAAAATTTATCAGGCCTTAACAAAACATATTGAAGGATCGTACGCAGCGAAACTCAGCGAAGACTCAAGTAACATTGTTGATTTAGTTCGCGAGCAATATAATGCTATTTCAAGTTCTGTTGAAATGAAAGATACAGCCAGTAATTATGTTAATATAAAATATTATTCGAATTGCCTTGGCGGAGGTCAAATGATCGAAACAAACAAGTGTGACGGACTTAGAGTTGGAAATAAAATTGAATTTACTACAGAGATTGTAATATCCGCTTGTCCTAAAAATCGTTCGGAATGGAATCAAAAGTTCTTTATTTATCCGGTATGTTTTTAATATTACGAAATATATGTGAATAATAACAATAATAATAATAATAATAATAATAATAATAATAACAATAACAATAATAATAATAATAATAATAACAATAATAATAATAATAATAATAACATGCGGTGATCAATCATATAACAATATGTCATCGATTATAATGATTCACTGATAATTTTAGGTGGGTATAAACGAATCTCTCACTGTGAATTTGGAGATGATTTGTGATTGCCAGTGTGAAAACAGCGGTGAAAATGGATTTGAATATAAATCGGAATTGTGCAATGGTCACGGAGATTTAACCTGTGGTATTTGCGTATGCAATGATGGCTATTTTGGCAAAAATTGCGAGTGCGGCACCGACGACAGGGGACAAATAATCGTAAATGAATTTGCTTGTCGTCGTGATAATTCATCAAATGTAGATTGTGGTGGTAGAGGCTCATGCGAATGCAATGTTTGTAATTGTAATACCAGAGATGATCCAACCGAGGTATGCAAAATTTATTTCTATAATTTATTTTCTTTTATTGCACTAAATTCTATTAATGCAATGTATCATGTAATACTTGGAAATTTTTCTTTTTACAAAATTATTTCAAAACTTTTAATAAAGTCAATTAAATACTCGTCGATATTTTTATTACAAATATTCATAATATTTGCAGATGATTTGGGGTCAATATTGTGAATGTGACAATTTTTCATGCGATCGTCGAAATAACACAATCTGTTCTGGTCATGGGACTTGCAATTGTGGCAACTGCGAATGTTCTTTAGGTTGGAAGGGAAATGCATGCGAGTGCAGCACAGATACAAATTCCTGTGTTAAACATGGACTCGAGTGTTCTGGACACGTGAGTCTATCAGTATATAATATGGTCGTTTTGTTAAGTCTTTTACCATCCTATAAAGCTTACTTATAGACTCAAGATTTACATTAATTTTTGTAATCATCCTAGATAAAATATACGTGAACTTGTATATTATTTTTTAATTAATTTGTCGTTAAAATTTCAATTTATAATTTAACAATAGATTTTAGTATGATTTAATTGAATTATAAAATATCAAATAAATCAATAACGACGCAAATTATGCCCACTTGAATAACTTTATTTTTTTAATTGTTTGTTTAATGGTCAATAGTTAATTATAATCTTAATTTTCATTAATCATATAATTCAATTATACTACTCAATTTTAAGAACACATATGAAACATTTTTGAATATACCATTGAAAATTTAAACTTTATTTTACTTTTCATACAGACTCAAACATTGTGTCGTAAAAATATGAATTTCGAACCATCATTATTCGTATAAGTGAATCAAATTCGTAAAATAACTTCTTAAAATCATACTGCGAAAACGAGCGATTACGAATGAACTAATATTAAAATAAGATATTTGAACTTCCAGGGTGTTTGTGAATGTGGTAAATGTAAATGCAACGTTGAAGGTGAAACACGATATTCAGGTCAATACTGTCAGATTTGTCGCACTTGTCCGAGCCGCTGTGAGGAGCTCAAGCCTTGCGTACTTTGTAAAGCTTTCAAAGCAGGAAATCTCACCGAGACGGAATGCAATAATACCTGCGTCGACTTCCAACCAGAAATCGTGGAAACACTCGAGGTAGACGTTGACCAGGAAGAAACTGGTTGCTGGGGCTATGACGAACAGGATTGCAAGTACTATTTCGCCTACTATTACAACATGACCGTAAACAAACTGCAAGTGAAGGTCCAGAAGGCGCGCGAATGCCCACCACAAGTTTATGTACTTGGTATAGTATTGGGAGTAATTGCGGCAGTCGTTCTCATCGGCTTGGCATTATTACTCGTATGGAAGTTGCTCACAACCATTCACGATAGAAGGGAATTCGCAAGATTTGAGAAGGAAAGAATGATGGCCAAGTGGGACGCTGTAAGATATTTCAATACTTATTATTTGTTCGGATATTCGATTCATTATAGTTCATAATATTACAAAATTTGTCAACTACTAATTGTATTTATTTTCAATATTTTCAAACGCCAATTATTAAATTATTGTCTTTATTATTAATATTTTTTTTAAATAATAAATAAGCTGTCTTTGACATTAATAAATCAAATTAATAATTAAATTTCAATAATCATGCTCAAGTTGCATAAAAGTTAATAAATTGCATATGAATTTTATGTGACTTATTATTGAGAACGAACTACAAAAAATTCATATAATTGATAATAAGAATAGAATTATTATTTTGAATGAATTCCAAAGGCATGTAAGAGAAAAAAATTTGAATGATTTAGCACTGAACATTTAAATGAAATTTATCCATAATAATAATGTTAAGTATGTAATGTTAATTATTACAATTCATATTGCAGAGTGAAAATCCAATTTATAGACAAGCCACTTCGACCTTTAAAAATCCAACGTACACAGCAAGTGGAGTACACATGCCATTGACTAAATAAATAAAGTCAAAATTGCCTTGTATTTCATCAAGCATTAATAATTTAATTACGATTATGTTTGAAATATTAGATAATTTTTAAAAGGATCTTGAGAAAAGTGATACTATGAGCAGCTCTTAGAAAAGTAACACTCGTTAAATTTTATGTTCTCTATAATAGAGTTGGACACGGTATAATTATTGGAGACTGACGATATTTAAAGTATATATTAATAATACTGCCATAATACTTAGACTGCAGCGAGTGCCGACACACAAGATTTTGTATATCGGTAATAAGTCAAACTCGTCGCTAGTAACTTAACAAATTAATTTTCGATTTGTGCTGTTACATATAGAATATCAAAATACACAGTAAATATTTTTAATTTTTTTAATTTTATTGTTTCTATACGAGGAGCATGTGGTAATTTTAAAAATTAGCAAGCGGCATGTATGCCAATAGATATTTAAAATAAAAATTTCTACTGTGTATGTTGCTGTTTAAAGTGCCTTTAACATTAAAGCCTTAAGAAAAATTTTCTTTTCTAAAATGACTAATATATTAGTTATTGATTATGGAGGTTCTCTAATGTTACTCTTTTTAAATTAATAACCGAATATATTGTATTATAATACATTTATTATTTAGCATTTAGTTTCAAAGATCTATTTATTTAACTGTAAAATGTAATTAGAAAAATGTCTATTTTAAAACACATTTTTCCAAAATCTATTAAGGCTTGTAAGTAATTTTTTAAACGAAAAGCTTCATATTTTATTGTGTAAATTTTTCATAAAACGGCTATTGTCATTATGATCAATATCTAATTGATTTTTATATTAAAAGTGTAAACAATTTTATTATTCTTCGATTAACTATATTTTGATAATTTTACATCTGCTTATACATGACCGTCCCGTATATTAAATTAAATAGTGTGTAAAGAATGAAAATCACAATTTTATGGACATAGTTTGAAAAAATATGTCAAAAAGAATAATGTTATTTAAATTTCTTGTTGCAACATTCGATATATAAAGTAAAATATATTAGTCTAACTTAATATGAGCCACAAACAAACATATCGTTTAAAATAATTATTAACCAAATAAGCTATCTAAATTATAAAAATGTTAATAGTTTTTTGACGAGTGGATAAAATTTAATGCGTTTCAACAATTTTATTTGATTTCAGTTTGAAATCAATATACATTACATATATAGAAATTATATACATTGTTCATGTCTTAAATTGCTTTTATCTTAATAATACTCATTTTTATACCATACATAATATTGTATTTTAATATATGGACTATTGTTAACAACAAAATAAAACTGTAAATATTTACGTATACGTATTGGTAAGAACGCCTTAATATTATATCAAATCCTCTTCACTATGTTTTATATGTATTAGTGAAAATGTTGAACGGTGCCTTAATCGTAAATTTCTTGGCAGCTAATAGAAAAGAAAGATAATTAAAAAAATAATATTATAATATATTAACTTTCAGAATTCATATATTAATAAATTATTTTTCTCTAGTCTAAAAATGTTCTATATGACTTTCCCTATGTAATTCAAAAAATTACATCAAATATAGGATGCAGCTTTTCATTTATAAATGACTTTGCATAAAAGTAGCTGAATTTTCATTAAAATAATATAATCTTCTGGCTATTTTTATAATGGTATTTGTAATGCTCTAAATCTTATTTGTTTTTGTACAATTAAAAATTATATTCAACAGATTTCTTCAAATTTCTAAAACCTATTTTAACAGTGTAAAAAATTTAATAAATTTCTAAAAATATATATTATTGTTCTAGTTTATATTTTTTAAGTCTATCCTTGAAAACAATTTTCATAATTTCAATTTATTTTCATAAATAAATCTTATGGAATCATAAAATTAACGATATAATAAATAATAATAAAATTAAAGTAATATAATAGAAATAATAGAATAAATATAATAAAATTAAAATCGAACGTAATGTTGAAAGTTAAAGTTTTTGATTGTGATCATTTGTAAAATAAAAATTTGTAATTCATTGATTGATTTTTTGTTTTAATTATAATTACTGATTAAATTTTAGATAATAAGTTATTGATTATAAAAAAAACTTATATTATTACTTTATACTTGATGTATATCCATTGCGAGAAGACTATTATTTTTTAAAATAATTTCTGTACAAAAATATTTCATTACGTTTCATTTTAAACTTCAAAATGTTTAAGAAACTTTTTTTTTTACTTTTATATCAATATTCCAATTGAGCACAATTTATAGTTTTTCCGTAATTCATAAGATTTTAAACCAATTCAATTGCTGATTAAAAATAAATATTTTTCAAAATCAGAATAAATATACGATTCTTAAAGAATTTTAGATTGCTGCGTAAATATTATTATTTAAACATTTAAGGATAAAGGTTGAATTAACGTGGATTTTAAAAATGTTAATATGTAAGAGTTTCAATGATAATAAATACTTTGAACAATTAGTAGATCATGACAAAAAATAAATTATTTTTGTTAATAATATATAAGATTAAAATATTTATGATATTGAAAAGTATAACTTTCTGTTACTCTTCATAATGCAAAATTGAATAATATCCTCCCAGGAAATTATACTCTTGCAATTAAATTTATATAATTTACAACTAAAAATATCTGAATAAATAAGATTATCGTATAAAAACTTTTATTTTTGTATACTTAAAAAATTATTATTTAGCAGTTTATTTTATTAAATATTTATTAACAAGACAATTTAAATTAGAATAGTAAATTTGAAACAATAACAAATAATAACAAAATATTTAACACCTACAACAAAATTTTAATAGAATCAAGTTATTTTACAAATTGTTATTTATTTGATAAAAATAATTAAGAAATTATGAAACCATCACTATAAAATATTATAAACTATATGAAGTGCAAATATAATAATTATAAGATTAAACGGGATGCTTTTAATAAAACTTGCATAACCCCAGAGCTGCATTAAAGTAAGAAAATGAAATCCTATAAAAATATTCAAATTCTAACAAACACAAGTCTAAGTAATGTATAATTATTTTTTTACGATTCTGAGAGTACGTCTTTATAAGCAATTTTCTGAACAAGAAATTTTAATGATGATTTGCATTTGCAAGCAGTGGTATATTTATATAAAATTTAAAATCTACAATGAAAAAGGAACTCTACAACTTTTTTCCACTATACAAGATTTAATTAAAAATAGAACATATTTATGTTTATATAGTAATATACATTAATTGTGGGTAGGATTAATTAAATATTAATTAATTCTGGTATAAATTTAAATGTATGGTTTTTGGTTTAAAATTAATGACTTGCTTTGAAATGTTTGCCTGGATATATTGTGGATAATTAGAAAGGAATTTGAGTACCAATGAATGATCTATTAAGATTTTTAATTTGTATTTCTTAATTTGATATTCATTAAATCACTATATCAACATTTCATAAATCTAGTTAAAAATTCTAATAAATAACTATTCAATATAATAATAAATCGTAATTAGACTGACTTTAATCTCATCTCTTTTTCATATGTATAAATACATATAATTCATTATTCCTGCTTTCTTCGTTCTTAATTTATAAAATATCATATGTATATATATATATATATATATATATATATATATATATATTCCAGGCGCTAGATAAATTATTTATTAAAAGCTTCATTACGTACGTTATAAAAACTTCAAATCATGCATAAGATGATTTGGTACTATTTCATTCCAGAGAGTTGATGCTGACAATAAAGCTCCAGTCAGCTGTCTGTGTAGGTAACACTACAATATAAATATTCATATACTGTCCTTGGTAATTTTTCGCAAAGAACGAGCACGTGCTACGTCCTTTTTCAAAGAATGAAGTTTCTACGTTGAATTATTGTCTGAATGTACTAAGCACAAAATCTCCATTGTTATATAAATATAAATTTCGATTGTAAATTTTTTAAAATTCATAATTATTTCTTTAAATTTTACATTCGCCTTTTAACTTAAAATCAAAGTTAATAAAATTACAATTTTATCAATATTCCATTTATGAAGCTACATATTAATGCATTTAATGCGCATCGACGTTACTTGATTGACAAATGAAAATTTATTCATCGGGACATCATTTCCCAAGCTTTAGCTATTAATCTTTTCTCTCTTTAATTGTATGTAAAATATATTTTATTCTTTAGCCGCTTAATTTCGCGATGTCAAACTACAGTGAATATAAATTAAAAACTATTATTGAAGGACTGTTTAATATGCGTCATAAAATTTCCATTTAAGTAATTTCACGCACCAAAGAAATCCTTGTAATGCATTCAGCTAACAAATAAAATTGGATCTTTAAAAAGATCACGACATAACAAGTTTGATTTAATTTAGTTTATGAGATTACCTGTCGTAGCTATGAAAGTAATTTACTAATCCAGGTGATTAAATTTGCTCTCCACAAAAAATATTCTACAGTTCGTTTAAATAATATGTGGCCTACATTGGTTTTATAGCATTAGAAAAAAAAAATGGAGAAATTAGAAAGAACATTATACTAAAACTTTTTATATACGTGAGACAGATACTACGACAAGATAGGCTGGGTCGCTAAAACCACATGTCGACATTTGCCACTGGCAAACGATAAAAGGCGGAAAGCAATAAAGAAGGTTGTCTCAACATTTACAACGAGATTGTAGTCTTGAAAAGGGCGTAGATCCTGTGTGGTGTGTAGTGTACTCTTGATCACTACCGGATAAAACGGTTTTGCAGATCGATTTCGCTCTTAGTGTCGTCGTTGTTGCACCCGTGACCACAGACTATGTTCATCCTGGAGGACCAAATTGACTTCTATCTTGACCCATTTCAACAACTCGAGTTGTTTAAATCAGGTATACACTTTTATTTGCCGTTTTTATATTCGAACGGTGATTCTTAGGTGGGCTTATATATAGCGTAACGGCACTGGTGAAATAAACTTGCATAGGGGTCGTACATTTTCTCGATGTAAGATATTCAATTTTTAATTTATTTTCAACTGTTTTATGTGGAAAAATATTTAAAGAAGTACAAAGAAAAAACTTTGTTATT